GTGATATTGTAATCGAAGACAGCTTATCTTCTTTAAAAATCCACGTCACGCGAATGATCAACCCTTCGAAGGGTTGAGTGAAACGCGGGGATCAAGATGGAGATTAAAAAAAAAAAAAAGAAAATAAAAAAAAGGGAAATGAGATGAATCGCGAATCTCTTTATAATAAGAGTTAAGTTATTAGAAGTATGTTATATGTCGTTGGTAGTTTCTCTCGGTGTATATCAATAGTCTGGGGTATATCTTGTCGGGCTTGTATCTCTTTTCGGTGGTGTCGTATGCTCTCTGTCTTTCTATATGGTCTAATTGGACTTAATCTAATCAGCTTAAGCTTACAACGCACACTGTGTGACAGGACTATGCTCGAAATCGTGAAAGAAAGTAAACGATCAGCCGCGAGTACCACGGAGAAGTTCTTTGGATTGAGTTTAAAATTTTAATCGATCCCGATCGACGAATAAAACTCGCGACTGCCTTCCGCGTTTCTTTTTTTTTTTTTTTTTTCTTTTTTTATATCTACGTTCGCGTTCGCGTTGTGAAAACAAAAAAGGTTTTCGAAGAGAAGATACTTTCGAGTAGAGTTTTTCGTAAGAGTAGAATATCGATCGTGTGTGACGAGACCCGCGTAAAAAGCAAAGGTAACTAGATACTGAATCGGTATCGCGTCTCACGGCGAGTACGCGATATCTAAGTTTTGCATACGGCACGATAGTGTGTGTAGTTAATATAGAGGTGATCTTGTGTGTTTATGTTTATTTGTAGAACGAGCAGGAGATACCGCAGGGGGCGGGGGTGGTAGCGCCTGTCCTGCAACCGCGGACCTCGTCTCGGACGATGACTACGGTCAGTCCACGGATACAGAATTATTGTTTCGCTGTAGAATTTGTTGGAAAGGTTTCAAGCATCCGATGTCGTTGACACTGCACAAGGACTTGCATACCGGGCAAACCAGGTGCCCGATTTGTCAGCGCATCTTCAGTCGAAGTTACGACATGAAGGCACATTTGCTGCGCATCCACAAGTGCACGTTCAGTGTCGACGCTAAGTTGAACTTTCGAAAGTGAACTTTCCCATAGTATATCGCCTCGCGAGGAGACGTTCATTTCTTTATCGTTCTTGTATGCATCTCACCCTAGGAAAGGTGCGACATCGATATTATACGACCGATATTGTCGCGATACTTGTTGATCGGTAAATCGGTGTACATCTAGCGCGACTGTGGAAGAAACAGATTATTTTCAACCCGTTAAGGATTCACTGAATTTTGAAAAACTGTATTAAAAAGATATTTTTTTGTAGTTTATTGTTTTCTTTTTTGTTATATGAATATTTATAAGTTTCTGATGAAGAAGAAATTGTATGCCAGCTGCGTAACATTACGTTCGCATGATGCATCGGGCGTAATATTACGAAAATGGACCTTAAGGGGTTAACGTGATTGTTTCTAATGTGATCATTTATGTAGATGTATCTTATATATAATGTATTCTCTTTTTGATTTAACAGTATCGTATCGAGTTGAAACTCCGGAATCTTCTTTTTTTTTTTTGTTCCGTACTTTCATGCGTGCCTCTCCTATTTATTGTTCATACTGTGCATTAAATTTTTATATATTTAAATCGGTGAACAGACAGGAGAGACTTTGATAAGAATCGATCGATTTTATTATCAATCGTTTTTTTTTTTTTTT